CGCGGCTGGCGTGAGCGGAGATCACAGCCCAGGGAACACCGAGCGCATCTTTCCCTGCACTGCTCCAAAGTCACCGACGAGCTTTGCTCTCGTCCTCCTCTAAAGCCAGCCCCAGCTCTGCTGTGCACGCACTTGGGCCGCATCCACGGGCTGGGCGGCCGGGAGCGGAGCTGTGCTTCAGCATCCCGTGGCTCTTACTCCGGTCGGTGTGATGCCTGCCAACCCATCACATCTGATCTTCCACTGTGGGGCTTCTTGCATCCTACTCCTGGAGGAGACATGAGGCATTAAACATTTAGCAACTCAGTTTTACTTGACTGAGAACTCCCCTCCAAACTCTGCATGTGAAAGACAGTCAGTCCTTTATTTGCTGAAGTCCCACCGAGATAGTCACAAGGACAGAGCTGGCAATGGATTTGAGAAAGCGCTGGAGTTAACATACTCCTACGTGTGACAGAAGCAGCTTTCTTGTTTGCTAAATGAAACATCTGCAGTGCTTACAGTCAGAATTTTATTATGTTTAACAACTTAATATTGAGACAAACAAATTAATATTGAGAGACTATATTAGCTGCCAGTAATGTTATCAGTATTGCCAGTAGCTCTTAAACAAACGAAGCTGCTGCCCAGCAGGGCTAGATCACTAATTAGCAGGTCCCAAAGGAAGCTGGTTCCTGTTAAAGGCAGGCAGGTGAAGAGGTTGGGCAGAACCTCTTCTTCCCTCTGTCCAGCTGACAAAGCTTAAGTTACTAAGTTCACACAGATTCCTGGCATCAAAGTGAGTCGAGTCTCCCCTCAGGTTACATATAGTAAGAGGCTAAAACCTGCCTTAAGTTCATATCTTTCAAATCTTGACACCTGATGCTAAGTGTGATACTGTAAATTCTACAGGTATCAGGAACCCGCATGTAGTACAGGGCAATGGAACTCACGGCACTCAACCACACTGAAGACTCAGGACATTTTTATTCAGGTAAATCTCTGTAAGACCCTCTTTTTAAAATGTTTAACTGAAATTAAAATTGGAAATGTTGAGCTTAATGTAAAATCTATGGTGTCTTCCATAGTCTGAGCACTTTATGTGGAAAGAGACTTAAGTTCACTCAGTGATAACGTCAGTAAATACTTTCCCACAAATAAAACTTATTTTTGTGGCTATCTAATAATTATTAGACAAAACATACGCATCTGTGTTCTTAAAAATTGTTATTTTAACTGATTGTTAATCTCTTATCTCTGCTTACATTATAGCAATTAAGAATTTTCAAAAGTATCACAATGTTCCTCTGAAATAAGAAAATATATAAACAGGCTCTTCTTAAAATGAGCATATGCTTGAGCGTCCAGAACTAATAATGTACGAGCCAGCTTATAACCCTTATTTAAGCTCAGCTGTTCAGGAAGATGATTTTTAAGCACAAAAATACTGTCTTTTAATAGCCAGTGTTTGTTCCTGAGTGGTATGTTAAAGCAGTATGCAAAAAGTGTCAACAACAATAAAAAATCAAAGACAACTTATTCTAGAAATATATTTTTTAATGCTAACGAACCTCTTCTTTTTGGTCAGACCATTTCATTCTTAACACACTTCTCCTTCTGTACCTCCAGCAATTTTACACACATATATTTGATTTTAACAGATATACAGTAAAACAGGAAAAAGAAACGTGTGACAGTAAATTTACAAGTTGCTAATTTCTGACTCTGCAATAACGAGTAGCACTATTGTATGCGTTTACTTTCTGCAGTGGGAATTTAGAAGTCTGTACTGAATGCAATAAATACGTCGGTGGAGAACAGAGAGAGAGCTGTTCAGAATCACGTGTAGACACAGCCTCTTGACAGAATCTCTGTTTCCTTCCATGCCTGCGGTTCTCACTGTGTGCTACAGTGAAACATAAGCACTCTACAACAGAAACCAATGCCAAAAGGCATTTGCGACAGCCTCTTAAGATACAGTTTCCCCCACCCCCTTTGAACACTAACACAACACAGAACACAATAAGGCACAGTCTTTTTACTAGGAATGCTCCGTGAGTCTCTAACATGCCCTGCCCTGTGCTGTATGCTTCTGACATGAGCCACTGCTGTCAGGTAGCCAGAAGCCCCCATCAGACTCTGACATGTCCTGGGGCTTGGCCATCTCAAGCCCATGGGGATGTTCCCTGTCAGGCAGTCTCACGGGAAGCAGCATCACAGGGAAACCAGGCAACTGTGGGTCTAGCCCAGTACTTCTCAAGGAAGTAACAATTAAGCTTACTGAGAAACAGTTCACATAAATTGCAGACTAGGGTCAGATTCTGCTGTCCCTCAGCAGGACCAGAAATACTGTGATGGAATGAAAATGAGAATCGACAGCATAGTGTGAAATGAATCCTTTTGGCTGATGATAGAACTAACAGTAAACTGAGTGCACTGTTGCAGCTCAGCATGCAGAGTATAAACTGGTACTCCCACTCTTCCTCCCCCTTCACTGCCATTCCACTACAGCCTCACAAGGAGGACTTGAGTTTAAACAAAATGTGTTGTAGCTGCCTCCGATGTCCTGATATACCTTTTTGGTGTTCTGCCTTCCTTTATTGGCTCCTGTTGAGAACCTACATTGGAAACTAAGGAATAAGAGATTATGTAGTGCTGTATGTTGGGATCCCAATTGTGACCTACAGGATACATCAGCAGAGTAGTCAAGAAGTGAAAACTTGAATAAAGATATTAATGAGAACAGTAGCAGGATGAAGTAGTATCTTCTTCCTTTTAATTTTGGGATACACTTTGCTGAATATATAACTAATTTGCCATGGAGGGTAAAGGAAGTCTATTAATTACTAGTCCTGAAGAGGATGCAGACAGTTCTGCCAAACTTACAGCTGCAGGGGACTCTTAAGCCATGGCTCATTACTAGAGGAAAACAAAAATGCTTACATGGACTTTAGTATTCACACTCAACACTGTGAAACACTGGAACATAACCAATTTACTAAAGATAGCCTTAGCCTCTTGGGACAGGCAGATATTTCCCAAGTTTCTTTGCCTTGACGTGGCGTGTCATGGACCACCATTCGATTGCACACGAAATTCAATCTCCTGCTCCCTTGCCCCTTCTAGAAACACACTAGAAAGCAAGCTGGTTTCCTCTGTTTTTCTTATGTCCCCCATGTCCTGATGCAAAAAAATGAAACTTGGACAAATAAATGGATTGCTCTAAAGATAGAATTCAGGGGGTAGCCTTCAATTCAATAAGCAAAGGATATAGAAAGTTTGCAGCTACTATTTTTGTCTCTAAATTAGAACACTGGCTCTTTTGTGAGGAATCTGAAACATCTGTGCAAATAAAAATAAGCAGGACAAAACTGTTCCTCCCTCAAAAATGTCTCCTCCCACAACATCCTGTTTTTTGCAGATGTAAGAACGCCTTCCTTGTGTGCACACACTCAGGTCAGTCACTCTACATGTGGTGAAACTCCTGAACTGAAGCAGTATAGAGATGTCACCCCAAGATACACCACCGAAAGAAAATCACGGTATTTGAGGGGATCATACTTGCTACTCACACTGTGCACACCCAGAGCCTTCCAGATGGCAAAACTCAGCAATCCAACTCCGCACCACGCATAGAGCGAGCCCCATCCTAGGGCTCGTAAGGCCAGTGATGAACCACTCTCTGGTAATGCAGCTGTGGCAGTAATCCCCTAAAACCAAAAATAAAATGATCTTTCAGCAGAGACTACTCTGAGTAGATTTAAAATTCTGATTATTATTTCTGACATTTTTCCTGCTTCCACAGTCTAACCATATACAACAACATGCAGAAAAAAAAAATCCCATTTGGAAGACAGCAAACGAATGGACAAAAATATCCTCTACACAGAATCTTTAAATAGGAGTCATTATCTGTGAATGTTGCTGGCAAAAAAAGCCCCACCCGAATGCTATTTAAATGCTTGATTGCCCCAGAAAAATAGTGGTAAATGGAAACAATTGATTTGGTTTTACTGACAGCAGTCAAACAGTATTCAGTCACAGGCTGATTCCTCAGGGTATTAAGTACATAGATAAGGGTTTCTGTAAACAACACAGTTTACTATATGATTATCAGGTATGCTGTTCAGAGCATCAAGAAAACTGATTAATGAAATGTTAAGAAATGTTAAAAGACAACAGCAGCATTGGAGAAAAAGATGTCACCAACAAAAGAATGTTTTTAAGAGAACAGTTTTATTCACGAGCCTGTTATCCTCCGCACAGGTTGTTTTCTCTTCGTTACTGTTCCTATATATATATTTTTTAAAGCAACTCTTTAATTTAAAAAATAAGCTACTAAACAATACTTGGGTCTTTTCTAAAGACCAGGACAGGAAATATAGGGCAGAATTAGCTGATGTGGTTACCAAAATATATGCGCTTTTTTTTTTTTTTTTTGGAGGATATAAGCAGGAAGTGGGAGGAGGAGAGACAACATTGTTTTTTTCAGACACAGGCCTCAATCCTCTAATTATCACCTTGTGGACAAGTGTGTCTGTAAGGAAGTACTTCCTAAAATACCTGGCATGTTCAACTGTTTTGGTTGATTGTATTCAGTGTGTTTTGTATGACAAAACCTGTAATATACTTACATACTTGTATGTAACCTGTTGTAAAATTAAACACCTGAATGAATGCTGGTAAAACTGGACACTCATCACAAGGAGGCTGTTCCATCTGAGCATTGAACTGTAACAGGCCCCCCAATCACTTTTTAACTGAAGGTCTCTGCAGCGGTTCACCACTAAACAGGGTCATGTAATCTCAGTTTCGATTAATTTGTGTGCTAGTCCTACAAGTGATTATATTTACTTCAGTACCGTGGAGGAGGTACAGTAGGTGTAACTTCAGCTTTCTCTTGCCAGTAACGCTGATGCTACCGTGCAAGAGTAGGGTCTTGTATTGTTGCTTCCTGGAAGTCTGAATGCAGTCATGAAGCCATGATGTGGTGATGCTCCAGCTTCCCCTCTAAATTGCTATTTTTTTTTTCTCATAAAACTATTTAAATCTGTGCCAGGCTGCATTATGCTTGCTTCCTGTTTCTACTCTGACTTGGATGCCCCCATTTCACTGACACAGAAACTGGCACAAGCCAGCAAAGATGCTGAAAGAATAGGTCTCACGCTTCTTCC